TCCTTGTAAAATGGCATTTCTTTTCTTTGAATGTCTCAGGGATATTTCCCCTGGTCTGTGGTTCCCAGCAGTTCTCCTGTGATTTGTCTACGCCATTCCCTCTGTTCTTATCTGGCTCAAGGATGGCTACACTTCCTGGCCCTCTTTCCAGGACTCCACAAACACCTCGCTGCTGCTAGTCGTTTCCAACACGTCTTCCATCTTTTAAATTGTTGGATTTTATTTTAGGGTTTAGGTTTGTCTCTCTGTTCTTCTGTCTAGATGCTTTCCAGTGCCTCATGGTCTGGCTTCCCAGTCTCCTCCTCGATTGTGTCTAATCTGCTGTGAAGCCTGTCTGTTAGGGTTTGTCTTTCTTTTCTTCTTCTATTTTTTATTTTGTTTTTGGTTTTCTAGGAACCTTATGCAGGAACAACTGGCATACAAAGATGATTATATTGAAAGGCTACAATTTGGTAGGTTTTGAAATATAGATATAAACCCATGAAACCATTATCACAATCAAGATAATGAGAAAAACCTCTCACCCCACAAACTGGGTATCGAATTTGAGGCTGACTGCCATTCCCCCACTGTGTGGAAGGAACTTTCTGTCTCTGTCCTGCTTCTGCTCTTGGGAAGCCTCCATCAGTTCAAATACCCCTTTGTAGTTAGTGGACCTTAATACAATTGTTTTTTGCTTTAAAGATCTCAGTCTTCTGTGTTTTGTGGTTTCATTGCAATGTGTCTGGATGTGAGTTTATCTGTCTTGTTCTATTATTGCCAACCCATAACATTTGATTTCCTGTTCTCCTGTGAATCCCGTTAACAACCAGTGGAAGCTTTTCATTCTCTCCCCTGTGCGTCTTCATCTCTCATTTGTTCTCACCTCCTTCCCTCTCTGTGTGGACATTGTGGGCTATTTTGTAGGGGAAATCTTTCAGCTGTGCCGAATCTGTTTCTTTTCCTATCGAAAATCACAGGGAAACTGCTGAAAACCCACAGACCAAGGGAAGTACCCCCTTTGGCCATTCAAAGAAAAAAAAGAAATTTCAGTAGCTGTACACTTCATTTTTAGAAGCCTTATTTTATTCTTTTAAAACTCTTTGTGTTTTTCATGGTGTCCCATGTTTTCCTTTGATTTTGAACCCTTCTTCTAGAGTTAATAACTTTAAAGATGGTCACTACAGATGAACTCCAGGGCTCATGTCTGGGCACAGGCGGCCTCTGGCAGCTCTGGCTTGTGGGGCTGGCTTCCCTGGGTGTCTCATCACAAGGACTGTAGGATCGTCTTCGGGGGAACTTTGACTGTGGGAATTGCAGGAGGCAGGTGGGGGAGTGCCCCTTCAGAGCAGGTGGCCCTGGTTTTTGGCAGGCAGTCTTGGCTTGTCACCAGCCTGGGACCGTTTCTGTTTGTTTTTCTTTTTACCCTGGTAGTTCCGGCATCACAGAAATAATGTAAATATGGATCCCAGACTGTTTGACGAGCAGGCTCATCTGTGGTCAATTTGTCTCATTTTATTGACAGGTGGGTATCTTTTCCGAGTCTGTTCTTTCTTTCTTGTAAACTTAGAAGTTTGTTTTAAATGTTTGCTTTTGTTTTGCTTTGTGTCGTTCAGCATTTCTCGTTGCCTCTGGGTGTCCCTCCGTTTTTCACGTGTTATGCAGGAAAACACCGAGAGGCACTGCCCCTGGTGTAAGTTAGGTACATGTACATTTACATTTAAATTATTTCTCACAGGGAGGAAGTTGTCTTACTCAACATCCATCTTTTGAGTATTTTGAATAATTCCTCCTTCATTCATTCCTTCATTTACCCATCAATATATATTTATTAATAATTATAGGCTAATTTGCTATTCACGTTTCTCTTTTCTCAATGACGCCTCAGTAGCAATGAGCACAGCTAGTGCCCTGACCTTGGTCTCTAAAGCTCATTCTCCAGTAGAAAAGAGCAGAGCTCCTTGGAGAAGTGATGGATTCCAGGGCTGGGGAAAAGATTCCAGGTCTGGGGGAAAAACCAGGGCAGTCTGGGGTTATGCCAGAAAGTGAGAAGGTGCTCCTGAAGGATGGGAGGGTTCCAGAGGGCCTGCCTGGAAGAGCCCAGCAGCCAGAGCTAGGTAAATTTGAGCAACTAAGTAAATAATGACAGTGTAGGATGATCACCCAAAGCAAAAATTCGCACAAGTTCACATGGAGGCACACACCTGATTGAATCAATCAGTGAGGGGAGGGGCGGTTCTTCCTCCCGAGGAATTCCAGCAGAGTGGTGAGGAAACAAATCACCTCAGAACACCACGGCAGTAATTGTTGCAGACAAAACCCACCAACAGATGCTAAAATTATCGGAAAAGACTTTGAGGAGAAATAGGATACTCTTGTAGCCTCAAAGTATGTTCCCCGAGAGGCCAAGGTGGCAGATCACCTGAGCTCAGGAGTTTGAGAGAAGCATGGGCAACAAGGTGAAACCCTGTCTCTAAAAAAATACAAAACTTACTTGGGTGCAGTGGCACACACCTGGAGTCCCAGCTACTTGGGAGGCTGAGCGAGTGGCTCGCTTAAGCCCGGGAGGTAGAGGTTGCCGTGAGCTGAAATTGCACCACTGCACTCCAGCCTGAGGGACAGAGAGAGACCCCGTTCCAAAATAAGTAAATACAAATCAATAAATTACAAATGAAGAATAGTAATGTTACAGTGGGGGAAGCCGGCAGATCCCACCATCACCAGGTGACCAAAACAACTCATAATGAGGCGAAGCATCGGGCCCGTGAGTCGCTGCTGCGGACGCTGAGCAGGGCATGGGGCTTCGGCCAGTTTCTTGGCACAGACACGTGACTTTGATCCAGACATGATGAAATAACAAACTCGAACTGAGGGCTATTCTTCAAAACACCCAGCCAGTGCTCTTCCGAGTGGCAAGGCTGTGGGAGGCAAGGAAAGACGGAACCTGTCATGGGCTGGAGCCTCCCGGGAGATGACGCCTGCGTGCTCATGGAACCCAGTGTTGTTTCTAAAGCAGGAGGTGTATGTTACCGAGAACTGGAGGAATCAGAATCAAGCTATGGTGTGGTTAATTGCGCCTGTATTAATTCTTGGCCTCAATCCTTGTGGTCAAGGTTGGGTACGCAAGGTGCTGACATAGGAGGAAGCTGCCTGAAGTGGGCAGGGACTCCTGGACAATCTTGGCAACTCTTCCGTAAGTCTAACATTATTTCAGGGAAAAAAAGTATAGTGACCATAGGTTAAAAAAGAATAAGTGTAAAAAAGCTGAAAAGCAACAGTTAATCCTGTGCGAGAGACAACCACGGTTGCCTGTTTCTGCTCTTGGTGTTTCCGCAAGAAAGAAGCCCCTAGATGCCGTGGTCCCATTGTAGATGTCAGCACAAGGCCGCAGCTCACTCCTGTAATCTGGGAGTTTCTCCCTCCCCTCCCACAGGATAACTTCTACCTCCACTTTGGAAGTTCCGAACGCACTTCTCGGAAGCTCAGCTCTGCCTTTGCCTGCCAGGGCTGTTTCTCCCCTCGAGCCTCTGTCTCCACACCTGTGAAACGGGACAATAAGGACCCCTTCATGGTGAAGAGGGAGGACTAAGTTCATAAATGCATGCAAACTGAGGTGAGGACTGGCCGGCACAGAGAGACCCTGTGATGGCTGTCGGCCACTAAACAGACATTCTCTGTGCTCTTCATGCTCTTGCTTAGGAGGAGAGACGCTGTAAACATAGGTTTAAAAATGGCCATGCTGTGACAGTTCCCAAATAATAGTACTCCCACTGCAAATCCCCTCACCTTCTCCAGTGACATTCATTTCCTATCACCATCGATTTCTGTTGGCTTTTATGCCACCCTCTCTGAATGAGAATTAGGAAGACTCCGTTGGCTGTTTTCAACCCCATATTTTTCTGTTCTGTAAACTTCTGTCCATTGCCAGGCTTTGTATCTTCCTTCTTTTAAAAGTGAACGTGTTCTTTCTCTTCTTGTTAGGAACCTAGAATTGTGTATCGATGTGTTTCTGGTGATTTCCCAATAACTAGCTGTGATCCTGCTTCACAGCTTAGAGCCACAGAGACCTAATGCTTGAGCTCAAACTGTCCGAACCCAACTGCACTCCTTGGAGAAATGAAAGCAGCCTGGATTCTGCTGCTGAGAGTGCCTGGCTGTCCTGGCAGTCACCGGCTCACTGGGGTCTGGCCGTCCTGGCAGCTCCTCAGGTCGCCACGGTCTGGGCATGCTGGTGCTGCCTGTGCCTGGTGGGACCCCCAGTTCCCAGCACTGTCTGGACCTCATTCGAAGAGATGACTCCTCCTCACCGCTGGTCACCAGACCTGGGCCCTCGGCCACTCGTGGTGTGGCTGAGATATCAGGTCTCAGGGGACTGTCACCCTCTTCCTCCTGTTCAATTTCAGCTGAAGTCTCTAAATCAACAACAGAGAGGGAGAGAGGAAAAAGGACAGAAAAACTCCCCCATAATGGCCATTTTCAGAGCAGCCGCAGAACCAGGTGGCACAGCTGACCGAGGCAGCATTGCAGATGCATTTGTGTCCCTGTAGATCTGAGGCACAAGGACCCATTTCCGTGCTCGGGGGCCTCTATGAGGGGTGCAGGCTTTGGGGGCAGAGCAGAGGGGTGTAGGATTCTGGGGAGGCCACAACCACCGAAGGAAGGACCTTGCTCTCTCACGAGGCCGAATCCTCCCCGAGGTGGCTGCCGTCTCCCTGGGACCTACGTTCTGCCCCCTGGGAGGTAGGGAGTTGGATCGTGTACAACGATGAATGTGTGGACATGTGTGGATGCTGTCTGCTTCCCAGAGTCTCCAGCCGGGCTCCCCAGGACCCTCTTCAGTGCGCCTGAGCTGTTTGCTCTCAGATGGCTGCAAGCAAGTCCCTTTTCTCAGCCAGGCAGGAGGGAGTAGAAGGGCCTGTGTGTCTCCTCAGTTTCAAAGGAACTCCCCCGGCCGAGTGTGCTCTTGAACTAAAGCTTAAGCGAATCAGAAACATCTGGGCTCTATTTTTTCTGTGCTTAAGACACAGGAAATGGACCCATCCAAAGCCGTTTGGGGTCTTCTCAAGGGTCATTTAAGATGAAGAGCAACTTGAGATCGCCCATCTGTTGGAGAGCTGCACGTGCTGAGAGAGGATAAGAAACCGCAGCTCGCACAGCCATGGTCTTCACGTGGTCGCTGCACGTGAAGATTTGCCGTTATCTGTTGCTTCCGAAAGCAAGGGTGAGGGGAGCGGAACTGGGTGTTGTCCGGGTCTACGGTCAGAACAGGCACTAGGGAGGGAGTCCTGCAGGGAGGTGGGGCCAGGCCTTGTCTCTGTGACAGTGAACGTCCCTGTCCATGTCGGTATTTCTCAGACAAGCCACCTCCTTCTACCCCCGCGGTGGTGCAAGGGGAGGCTTTAGTCCAGGATAACAAATTCTGAACCAGCTGCCGCGTCTGGAGCCCCTGAGGGCTTATGCACTGGTGACCAGGGAGTTTCCTGGCTTATCACATCCGAGGCCGACTTTCGGGCTGCAGTGGGGTGTCTGAGCCGCTGGAGTGGGTGGAGGAACTGCTTCTCTGCGGGGCGCTGTGTTGAGGTGAGAGGGAGAGCAGGTCCTTCTGCTTCTGAAGCATGAAACTACCCCACACCTGCGGCAGGGCGTGCAATGCCACAGTGGCCTGGAAAACCCACGAGTGACAAGTGCTGGGCACAGGCCAGGTCCGGGGCTGTCACGGGCAGAGCCGCGGCCCGGCGTGCAGGTGGGAAGGAGGTCTCAGGTAACTCTCAGCATTCGCGTGATTCTGTCCTCTGTGGACTGGGGCAGGTGCTTCCTCTACCTCCCAGTGGCCTCCCTAATTCCAGAAGAGTAAGAACAGGGGAGGGGAAGCCGGTGCAGGGGCTCCCACCTGCTCCCTCCAGGCCAGAGGTGCTGCCTCGGTCCTTCACTTCCAGCCAGGCCATGCCTAGCAGGCTTCCATCCAGTCTAAGCATGGCAGCGCTTGGCCTGCCTCAGGCCTGTGTCCTCGGGCATTGTCCCCTCCTGTGTCTGCCCTTGTCTGAGGAGCATTTTCCGTCCTCACTCCAAGTCCCTGAGAGTCTGCCTGGCGCCCTGACCCATTCTGCTGGCCCAGCCAGTCCACACCAGGGAAGCTCCGGGGTGGGCCGGGGTGGGCCGTGCCCTCGAGGAATCCTCATGGCCCAGATGATAGCTGTGGATGTGGGGACCGCGTGGACGGTGGTGGGTGAGGCCAGGGTCCCCACAGCGAGGGCTTATAGGTCTTGGTGCTGTTTCCATGTGGAGGGGAGCCAAGATCTAAGGTATGGCCCAGGCCCGAGATCGGGTCACTCCTGTCCACCCTGCCTGTCTGCTGTGTGCTTGGGGACGTGGAGGCAGCCCTGCTGAGGTCCCTGCATCCTCTGCTACCTTTGCAGACCTCGGCACCCTGTGATGTTACTACCCTGAGTGCCCTGGGGCCCGGCTGGAGTAAGCATCCCCCTGAATTCCCTCTTTCACTCAAGCTCTAGAATTGGGTGCTACTCTGTGCCAGGTGGCGGGGATAGACCCCACTGCCCAGCTGATGCTCTCTGGCCCTGGGGATGCCTGGCCAGGTTCATGCTGTGTCCACCTCGCTCCATCCACACCCCTCCATCACACTTCACCCGGGGCCTGGGCCAGAGACGCATCCGAGATCCCTTCTGGGAACAATGGCCTCAAAGAATGGGGAGCAGCGAGGGCTGCTGGACGCCAAGTCCTTCTGGATCTTTCTGGCCAGGCTCCTCCCCGGCATCTGGGCTCAGTGGGGGATGGTCTGCCCCCGCATTCCCGCAGACCCTGGCCCCTGGCAGGGCCCCCAGTTCCCACCTGCCCTATTTCCCGCCTAGTGTAACTATGCTGTAGAAATATATTTTGGCCACGCCCTGCATGAAGGTTCCAGTCTCCGTGTCTGTGGGAAGGGCTAACCTGCAGCAAGAAGTGGTCCCTGGGATGGAGAGATCTGGACACAGTAGAGGTTTGTGTCCTGCTCATGGAATGGCTGTCAGGTGAGCCTGGCTTCTTGGCACTCATGCCCTTGTGGTTTCTTCTTCGTCATCCCAGGTGAGTCTGCGCGGCCGACAGCATGTGGTAGAGTGCTGGTAGGTCACTTCCGAAACTGGGCTGGACATGCCAGGTCTCCCTCCTGGTTGCTCTCTGTCTCCTTGGGCAAAGCCAGCAGCCAAGTCCTGGAAACTCGTGATGTGAGAACAGAGCCATCTCCCCAGGTGCACAGGACTCCAGACAGCAGCCTGCAAGGACCAAAGCCTGCTAGTAGCTGTGCAGGACCCTCCAAGGGTCTCCTGGGGCCGTGGAGCCCTCGCTCGGCAGCAGACTCTGGGGGCCTTGGGAGGAGTGGCTGAGTTTTGCTGGGAGAATCACAGAATCACTGGGGCCTGAGGGCTCGGGACGGCCCCAGACAAGGAGGTCCTCAAAGCTGTGTGTTGTCCTCCCATGCCGAGCCAGGTGTGTCCATGTGGCCAGAGCGCACAGTGGATGCCGCTCCTGAGTCCAGGGCCTGAAGGACCCTCTGGGTCACTCTCTCTGCCTTGGGTCACTCATCCTGAAGGAAGCCAGCCACTGTGTGCAGGGCCCTGCGTGGAGAGGCCCTCATGGTGAGGAGACGTCCGGCCCGCAGCCACGAGGAGCCGCGACCTGCCAGCACTGGGGGTGAGCTTGCCCCTCCAGCCCTGTGGGGGCTTTAGAGGCCATGGCCCAGGACAGCTGCGCCAGACTCACTTAGCCAAGCCCTTCAGAAACCCTGAGGGAGGGAACACTCAGCAGCAGCTTAGGTGCTTCCTCTACCTCCCAGTGGCCTCCCTAATTCCAGAAGAGTAAGAACAGGGGAGGGGAAGCCGGTGCAGGGGCTCCCACCTGCTCCCTCCAGGCCAGAGGTGCTGCCTCGGTCCTTCACTTCCAGCCAGGCGTATCGATGTGTTTCTGGTGATTTCCCAATAACTAGCTGTGATCCTGCTTCACAGCTTAGAGCCACAGAGACCTAATGCTTGAGCTCAAACTGTC